AAAATCAGCAGGACTGCGGCTCTCTAAGACCAGGGTTGCCTACCCCTGTCCTAAGCTAATGTTCCCATGTTGGACACAAATGGAAGGACTGCATTAATAACTCATAGAAAAACTATTATAACTCATGGTAACACAATAATAACTTGTAGTAATGTGTACTGTCCAGAAATGGTCAGTTTTCATGTACATATCGACCTACATGCCACGGGTCATCTACAGACCTAATTCCACCCTCTAAGGTGGATTTTACATTCTATCTCCCAACATGCCACAAGGTTCTGCAGCTCTGAACACGTGGTAACATATTGTCAACAAACGGTTCCCGTTTCAAGACCTAAGCTTCCCTTATCGCTTCTACATGATTATTCATGCCTCTGAATAAAGTGAACATTTTTACAACTCACAAGTTAAATAATCATTAAATAATAATATTGTTGAATGAACAAATGTTATATGAATACTAATGAATTTTTTTTTATTAATCTGTGCTTAAATTACTGTGGTTGAAATGAATTTTATTATTACAATGAAACATTTTGATATTTTGATCAGTAATGTTTGATTTAACAAGTGAATCATTATCTACACTCAGACATAATGTTCATAAGATAAAGTTAAAGTAATTTCTTCACATAGATATTTTCTTACACACAAATCAGAGCACCCTGTGTCTGAGAATGCGTGATGTTCTAAGGGTTTGTTTGTTAACACCTCTTAACACGGCACGTCCCGATTGGCCAAATAAATCACAATATGAGAATATTAAAACAGGATCACTTGCAGAGTGTTTCGGCATTCCAGCATTCTGTGAGATTCAGCATTCTGTTAGTTGAGCTAACTCTGACTGGCCATCGGAGGGAAACTCTTCTCCCATCGCATCTCTTGACAAGCTGTCAAAAACCAGTTACAAGCTACAGCTGACACAGCAAAACGGTTCCTTCAGCTATTCAGAAACAGCTGTTCTAGACGCAAATGATTTCATCTATCTGTTGTGATCTGGGAGACGACTCTAGACTGACCTGGTCATACTGCGGTCTTTTCTACGAACTTCGGTACCTTGGGGTCACCCGACCCCCCCGACATCTCGGATTCGAAAGTAAGTCTTCTCAGGGGTACGTAGTACACAGCAAGATTGCGTCTGACGCCGTTTTGATAGGAACCAACTTCATAGTTTAATGCAAACCAAATTCTTTTCACACCCAGAACTCCGTTCTTCTAGATACAAGATTCTGATAAACACATGTCATGTTTTTAATTGTTTAGAAAATAAATTCTTACCTTTTATAAATTTGACTCTGTCTGAATTGATATGAAGTGTGTTTGATCCCTGAAAAAGCAAAGAATCCTAGAATCTTCTGATTAAACATCCAAAGACCAAGCAGGTTGATATATTTATATAGAATATCACAGATTATTGGTCATAAGTAAAGGTAATATATAAAGCTTAAAAGCAACAATATTTACCCCTACAAATGCATTAAAAATTTGTGGTAACGCAATAATAACTTGTAGTAATGCATTATTAACTCATGGTAACACATAATAAGTTGTAGTAACCCATTAATAACTCATGGTAATGCATTCATAACTCGTGGTAACGCATTAATAAGTCGTGTTAACACATTAATAACTTGTAGTAATGTATTAATCACTCATGATAATGCATTCATAACTCGTGGTAATGCATTCATAACTCGTGGTAACGCATTAATAAGTCGTGTTAACACATTAATAACTTGTAGTAATGTATTAATCACTCATGATAATGCATTCATAACTCGTGGTAATGCATTAATAACTCGTGGTAACGCATTAATAACTCATGGTAATGCATTCATAACTCGTGGTAACACATTAATAAGTTGTGGTAACGCATTAATCACTCATGGTAATGCATTCATAACTCATGGTAATGCATTCATAACTCGTGGTAACGCATTAATAAGTTGTGGTAACGCATTAATCACTCATGGTAATGCATTCATAACTCATGGTAATGCATTTATAACTCGTGGTAACGCATTAATAAGTTGTGGTAACGCATTAATCACTCATGGTAACGCATTAATCACTCATGGTAATGCATTCATAACTCATGGTAATGCATTCATAACTCGTGGTAACGCATTAATAACTCGTAGCAATGCATTAATAACTCATAGAAATGCCTTAACTCATGATAAAACATTAATTTAACAAGTTAATCTTTTTTTTCCCTCAGTGTCACCAAAGGGGCACCATAGTCACAGATCACCTGGGAACACACTGAAATGCATTTGCTACCTCTGGAAGAGACACCTGGGGAGGCACAGGACAGGGGGTGTCTGCCGGAGCTGCTGTTCTTGTGATCTGGTTCCACAGAAGATGCTAAAGTGAAAATTTACATGTAAGACTTTTAAGGCAAATGTTATTGTTGCACCAAGTTGGTGCACTTCAGGTGGATTCTGCATTCATAATGTAAGAAATAAATTCAGTGTTTATCACACAATTACTGTAAACCTGCCTTACATGAAAATGAGGAGTGAAAAAACCATTTTGGGTGAACGTGGCTTTGTTCTTGCACTATAATCTAAGTTCTGGCTTCCACACTCTGCATGTAGAGATCCAATACATTACAGATAAATTCAACTGAAGCCACGGATAGATTCTCCAGGGAAACTTTTCCAGAACTGCTTCTGTTGAGTCTGACAGCTACCCGATAACTCTGCTACAGTCAATAAGATTCGCTGTGGTTCATTGGCCACAGACTACATTAAGCTCCATCAATAGCAAGTGCTCTCCTGAAAAGTTAAGGGTCCTCAGAAATGCAGAGTAGAATGACCCATCTGAGTTATTTTCAAACCAGTGGTTCCAAATATTTATAAGAGGTGAAAAAATAATTAGGACACGGTTTCTAAAGAGATATTAGAGATATTTAAAAATAACTAATCTCTGGCATTTAAATATTTCAGATGATCACTTTCAGCAAATAATGTAAAATAGATACATGCAGACTTTTTAGTTCTACTCAATAAAGTTTTTGTGTTTGTGTTATAGAGGAAGCAGATCCAAACTCATCTTGCATCCCAAACCTGTTCCTGTCGCGTCTCGTGTTCTCGTCTCCTGCATCCCTTCATGTCTTCTTCCCTGGCTCTGTTATTTAGATCAGTGGTTCCCAATCTTTTTTTCAGATGACCCACATTTTGAAAAAGACAAAACATTGTGACCCCATTAAAAAAATTACTCATTGTAAATGCAGCTGTTCTATAAAGGGACTTTTCAGACTTTTGAATTTTTATGCTTGCGATTGCCCCCTCAGGCCAAAAGCGTAATGGCAGCTTCAATAGTAGGCTCGTGTACGAAGCGCATGTGCTGTATGTGCACACTCCTTAAAGAAAATGACAGCTGACAGTCTCGTGTGTGTGTGTGTGGCCCGGAGGACAGAGGACAGGAGAACACACAGCTAATTAATTGATAATTTGGTTCTGTTCTGTACCTTTCTCTTCAGCACAGCCGACAAAGGTTTATGATGGGTCAGTCCTCCTGCATGTTCAGATCATTCCCTTCCCTTGCTTGAAAAACTGTTTCATACCATACCATACCATACCATATTTATTTATAAAGCACAATTTCAAAATAGCATGGCAGCTAACCAAAGTGCTGTACATAAAAAAGCCAAATGCTTGATCAAGAAACACAGTAAGAACAGGCAAAATACATAAGAACAAAGCATAAATAGTCAGAGATAAAAATTCCTACCAAAAACAATAAAATAGGAGAACAGCTAACAGCACTATAAAAATAAAATAATGCGACAAATGATGAAAACATTTGAAATGGCACAAATAAAACGAAATAAAATACCTGATGGTGCAAGGTGCCAAAAGTGAGAAACTGAATCATAAAAATGGATTTAAAAACTCAAATCCAGTGCTAGATTGTCTTATCCAAATGAAAGTTGAACCCACATCTTTTTTTATCTGTGAATTCAATGCCGTTCGGCGAGTCTCAAATAAAAATTTGGGCATCTTACTGTAAGAAAATATACCATTAACGTAAAAAAGAAACTCTAAATAAAATAAACTATATTCACACCCAGAATCGAACCCAAGTCTTCTGCACGAGAGTCAGACATCTTACAAGGTGAGCTACACTCTAGTAACATTCATAACACCTGTAACATTTATATCCTTGATGACAGCTGAAACAACGTCAATCCAAAGAACAGTTCGGAGCGAAAATGGCTATTTTGTTGCTAATTTGCAGGAAATATCAAGAAGAAAGTAGCTAAGTGTCCTCAGAAATGTAGCTAGCTTTGTCACTAGGCGTTAGGAACAGCGACAAAGTCGCTGAGTTGGGACTACCTCACTCTCTGCAGCTAAAGCTACAGATAGCAAATGCTACGGGCTATGCCTGAGCGTGAACGCGCATGAAGCAGCCTGCTCGACCTGAGCAGCTCTCTTTTTCTGTGATTTTACAGAAAAACAGGCAATCCCAGTAAAAATGCCAGGGCTCATTCTACAGGACCAGGGCATTGCAGGAGAATGTATGAAGAAGAAATTTATTATTTCTATACATGTTTTGGCTGTCAAACTTCCTTATAGTCTCTTTAAACAAAATCCTATGCATTTTACTATCCTTTGCATTTCTTCTTTTTTTAACTTAAAAATGTCTCAGATTTGAACATAAAAATGAAAAACCACATTTGAAACATTATGTACATTTTTAATGTATTCAGAAACAATCTGAAAAACAAAACATTTTCAGAATAAGGATCATGTTTTTATCTTTGGACATTAAACGGTGTATTGCACAAAACTTTTAGATAAAACATTCGGAACACGCAAATATCCAAAAATTGTTTTAAGCATAGAAAATATTTTTCACATATGCTTAGTGGTGAAAGTCATAAATATGGTTTTTACCAAAATGTTTATACATATATATATATATATATATATATATATATATATATATATATATATATATATATATATATATGTATTTTTTTTTTTGCCTTGCTAATGTGATGGATGGGCTTGTTTGTTTTTCAGTATTGCATTCCAGTCTGGTTTACAAGAGGATAATGCAACTCTAATATCTGGTGCAGCATTCAGTCTACTATTGAATTTTGTCTTTATTTTTGTTAGAACTGAGAACCCTACTTCACATTTGTATGTTGTTGTGAAGGGAATGAGAAGCTGAAAGCTGGCCTTACTCAAGGCAGGATATTCAGATGAGATGCTTATCCAAAATGAGGACAACTGCATTCATTCATGTCTTTTCTTTAGCAAAGGATCACTGCTCAGTTGTTACATCTTCGTTGCTTCTCCAGGGGTCGATCCTAACTCAAGCAGAGATTCTGGATTTTCATAAGCGAAGGGATTTTGAATCCACCTTTGCCATTCATCTTATCAAATCTCTCTTTTGGAAAATAGCGGTCAAAACTATTAAGAGTTACAGCGTGTGTTACAATGAGTTCAGTAAGATGCTTTACTTGTGTGTCAGTGAAATCATTTTCTTCTATGTGTTTTAACACATTTGGAAAGATGTAATGACATGGTTTTGGTTCTTTGAGGCGTGCAAGCCACAATTTTAGAGACTTCTGAAAAGTGAGAACATGTTTACAGTTGTGGAAAACGTCATCGTGCTCTCCCTGCAGTTTCAAATTCTGCTCAGTCAGCAATGAGAATATATCTGCCAGATATGACGATGTAAAAACCCACTCATCAGTAAACAGATCAGCAAGAGGGGACTTCTTCTCCTGGAGGAACGCGTGGATTTCATTTCTCAGTTCATATACTCTGGTCAGAACTCGTCCTTTGGAAAGCCAGCGCACCTCTGTGTGAAACCAGTAGGTGCGTGTGCTCCGCCCCCATGTCGCAGCACAGCTGATCATAAAGCCAACAGTTCAGGGAACTGATCTTAATGAAGTTCACTACACGGATAACCTCTTTTAGCGTTTTGTCGAGATCAGCAGGCATTTCTTTGCATGCCAACGCGTGCCGATGAATAAAACAGTGGTTCCACACCATGTCCTCGCCGGCTGCGTCTAAATTTTTTTTTACAACTCCGCTGTTTTTGAATCAGAAGAATCAGAATCAGAATCAGCTTTATTGCCAGCGCTCCAGCGACCCAGAGCATAGGAACTTGACTCCGCGAACACAACCTGACCAAGGTTAAACACACACACATGTAGACATAAACAGGTACAGGCAGTCACGAGAGCAGCCATAACGGTGCTCATTTCATCAGATGAAAAAGGTGTAACATGAGGATAATTGGGGTAAGGTAAAAAAAGGCACAGCAGAGTTAGACCCAGCGGGGAGTAACTCTATTATACAAAAAAACTCCTCAACATAGAAGCACGAACATCACAGATACAACATCAGAGTCCGATGGCGGCATCCTGAATCCTCCAACGACAGGTGGGAGGGAGAAATGAGAAATGCCTGTCATGTTCGCAGCTCCGTCAGTTGTTATGCCTTTTATAGCAGCTCCAGTCCAGGCCGGAGTTTGTAACCACGTAGTCGTTCAACACGCTAAATATCTGCTCACCTGTAGTCCCGGTCGGAATATTCAAACAGCATAACAAGTCCTCTACAAACTCTTTTTTCCCAGACAAATCTCACATAGACCAATAAAGTTGCACAGTCAGAAACATCTGTGCTTTCATCCAGCTGGATGGAAAAGTCCCCTGCCGTCTTCAGTCTAGAAATAAGCTGCTCCTCAAGGTTGCTTGAAATATCAATAATCCTTCTGGAAACTGTGTTGTCACTCAGTGGAATGCATTTTAATTTCTCTGCAGCCTTTTCATCAATAACTGCACTATTGCAGCAGGCAAGATGAGTTGTTCTGCAATGGTGTGAGGCTTTTTCTCAGTGGCCACACGGTAAGAAACCATGTAGGATGCAAGCTGAGCTTTGTCATTTAATGTGACATTTCTGCGAAGAAGATGAGCAGATGATTTAATCTCCTGCGCCTTTCTTTGAAAGAAGCCCGGTGGTTTATTTACCAAATCAGCGTGGAGCGTTTCCAAATGTCGCTTTAATTTGGCTGGCTTTAAACTCTCATTTGTGAGCTTTTCATGGCATATTACACACATAGGCCGATCTTTTTGATTTGGTTTAAAAAAATTTACAAATCCATAGTTTAAGAAAAAATCTTCATGCGGCCTCGACCTGTTTTTTTTTTTTTTTTTTCTTAGCTGCTGGTTCTTCTCCTGGTTCTCCGACTCTGTTTCCCACTCTCCTCATATTGTTGGCTGTTGGCGGATGGAATTTCTGGGCATTCGTCTTTGTTTTGGCTTCGTTCACTATCCTTGACGTCCCGTTTTGTTGATGCATTTTTGAATAGCGTAGCAGTTTTTATTTTGCATTGTTCTTTAGTCTCTATAGTCTGGCGTTCATGTGATGTAGTTTGGTTGTTGTCCGTGTCTTTCTTTTTCATTAACCAAGCATCCATTTCTCCTCCGTGACAAGTGTCAACGAAGTTTCAATATAGACTTGTTCTATGAATACACCACAGTAAACAAGTGCTGTGCTGCCTCTTGTGGCTGAATGCTGAACTGCATGTAATGAAGGCAAAGCCTACAGCTAAAATGTGTTAGATGATCTAAAGTGGTAATATCTAAATCCCTAGGTTTTATTTAGTTAGCTTAAATCACTGAAATACAGCTCTGTATATTGGTTGGAGACGGGGGTTTGCCCTCCAGCTTGTGTGGGCAGTTACCCGGTTAATCGTGAGCTCTGCTTGGTCCAAAAAGGTCTGCTGACGGGTCGTGTAGCAAACCGATTTAGCTTGGTTACTGTCTGGATGTCAGACGTGCACTCCTTATTTCTCTGAGTATCAAATGGTATAAATTTGAATGAATTCTATTATTTTGTGAGAAAACATCGGTTTCAACAAAATAAAACGTTACCATTTACCACGTACACAGGAAAGTCTCTCACTGCTGTCTGTCTGGCAGTTGAACACCTCCACACCCAGCTTTACTAAAGTTTCCTCCAAGAGGCTCTCACAGCTGGACCTCACCCAGGAAAACACCTGAAGAGAACTGCAACTTGGAGAGAGAAGACTGATGCTTAAATGAACTGAACTTGAATTAAAAAATAATAAACACTAAAGATCACAAACTGCCCCGTTCGCCTTGTATCAGGGATTTTATCAATAACCAATACCTGCAGCTGAGAGAAAGGAGATAAATTAAGCAGACAAGTCACCAAATAGCAATCAGGGCCACAAGCTCAAGGTAACTGCCAAGAGATTCTGCTCTGAGAGTTTATTTATACAAGAACAAAAGATAATAGTCTGTGTGTGTATGGGAGTGAGAGTGTGTGTGTGTGTGGGAAGTTACAAGGTAACAAGAATGTGTGGGTGTGTCTGAATGTGAACAAGAATGCTTTCAGGCATAGAGTAATAGGACTAATGATCAAGAAATAATGGATATAAAATTTCCATAACACCTTGGAATGACAGATGTCATGAGCTCCAGCTGCTCCGCTTCCGACAGAAGCTTCTCGTCTGCCATCATCACCTCAAACCAAGCATCCTTAGGCGAGAGATGTGCTGGAGCAACAGGAGGAGGAGGAGGAGGTGCTGCAGGAGAAGGTTGTGGGTTCCTCAGCCACTCAAACATCCCACTGGCCAGAGGACAGGCCGGCACGCAGACGGCGAGCAGGAGGTGTGGGAGCTGGTAGCTCATGACTGGATCAGTACAAAAGAGAGAGGAGTAACTACTGACATGTCACTGGCTATGGAAGACAGTACTGTTGATAGAATGAGGGACATTAAGGTTTTAGGTCATAAACGTATTAATGGTAGAAAAATAGCAAAGGCAGTTGCTATAGTAACTAGACTCAATGAGTCGTTGAATTATAACACTTTATGTCTTATATAATAATGTGACTGTTCCATATATGGCTTATTGCATTGAAATCTAGGGAATTACATATAAACATACACTAATCCATTCATGATTTTACACAAAATGAGCAAAAACAATCAGTAGTCACAGAGCTCCAGCCGGGCATAATTGGCTGAGTTACAAATATTAATGAGTTGCAAATATTAAAATTGGGAGATCTGGCTGATTACAGGACTCTACAATTGTTCTATAAAGCTCATGTGAAATCAAATATCCAAGCGAAATCTCAAATCTGGTGTGAGTGGGGCAGATTACATATATGATTTTCTTTTAATCTGCTCCTTTTCATTCAGGTATTTGTAATTTGTATCGTTTTGGTTATTTTCTTACTATTTGTTTAAAATGAAGAAATAAATGAAATAAAATTTAAAATAATTTAAATAAATTCTCTTATCACAAAAAATGTATGGTTATTTTGCCAATCCTCATGTACGACACAGAATAGCAACAGTTTTGTTCTCTATTAAACACGTTTGTTTTTTTTGCTTTGGACATGAAGGTGTTTCTAATTTCTTTTACAAGTTTCGACCGTCGTCTGCGGATATCTTCAGAAGTGTCACAGGTGTTTGTGTGATGTGTCTTTATCAGCTGTTCTTCTGGTGGGCGCGACCAACCCGGATCTGTCAGTTCCGGGTTGGTCGCGCCCACCTCCACTGGCTGGTCTTGGAGAAGGGAATCCCAGGTGCGAGACAGCTGATAGGCCCCCTCGTCTCTGTTCATGTTCCAATGTTCCCGTTTCCTTATTTCTATTGCCTTCCTGACCCAAGGTTTGAACCGCCCACCAGAAGAACAGCTGATAATGACGCATCACACAAACACCTGTGACACTTCTGAAGAAGACTGCAGACGACGGTCGAAACAAGTAAAAAGGTAATTAGCTGGAGAACAAACTACAGAGGAACAATATCAGAGATGTCTGGTCAGGGATGAAGAAGATCACAGGCTTCAAGCAGAGGAAGGATTGCACAGATGGCAGCCTGGACACAGCCAATGAACTGAACAAGTTCTTCAATAGGTTCAGTTCAGGAACAAACCCAGCATCCTCCTCGCCTGTCCCAGCCAATCAGACATCCCATCCTCCTCTAATCCAACATTTTCCTGTCACACGCCAGCTCTTTTGTCCTCTAACGCAGTTATGGACTCTTCTGGTTCTATAAATCTGTCCAACCAAGTCAGGAGATGCTGCTACCCCAGTTACCTCCCCCTCCCACCTATCTGTCTCTAGAAGTCAGGTGAAGAGGCAGCTGGAGAGACTGAACAGGAACAAGGCTGCAGGTCCAGATGGTGTTAGCCCCAGATTACTGAAGGCCTGTGCAGAGCAGCTCTGTGGGATTCTGCAGCACCTCTTCAACCTCAGCCTGGCCCAGTAGAAGGTTCCAGTCCTGCGGAAGACATCCTGCCTTGTTCCAGTTCCAAAGAAAACTCGCCCATCAGTCAATGACGACTACAGACCGGTTGCCCTGACATCCCACATCATGAAGGTCCTGGAGAGACTCCTGTTGGTCCACCTGAATAAGCAAACTAGAACATATCAGGACCCGCTGCAGTTTGCTTATTGCCATGGAGTTGGAGTTGAAGATGCCATCATCCTGCTGCTTCAACCAATCCACTGTCATCTGGACAAAACAGGCAGCACTGTGAGGGTCATGTTCTTAGATTTCTCCAGTGCATTTAACACTATCCAGCCTGATGTACTTTGCCAGAAACTCCAGAAGACACAGGTGGGGGCCTCAACAATCGCCTGGATTAAAGACTACCTGACAAACAGACCACATTTTGTGAGGCTGAAGAACTGCACATCAAACCAGGTGATCAGTAACATGGGAGCACCACAGGGGACTGTACTCTCACCATTCCTTTTCACCCTGTACACCTCAGACTTCCAGAACAAATCAGAGACCTGTCATCTACAGAAATACTCAGATGACTCTGCAGTTGTCGGGTGTATCAGAGATGGACAGAAAGCTGAGTACAGAGAGCTGGTGGAGCGCTTTGTGGCATGGTGTGGAAACAATCATCTGACCTTGAATGTGAACAAAACAAAGGAGATGATTTTAGACTTCAGAATAAACAGGGTGGATCAAACCCTGTTTGCATCATGGGAGAAGAAGTGGAGGTGGTTGATGAATACAAATACCTTGGAGTTCATCTGGACAACAGACTGGACTGGAGAAAGAACAGTGAAGCCGTTTATAAGAAGGGACACAGCAGACTGCACTTCTTGAGGACACTTAGGTCCTTCAATGTCTGTAGCAAGATGCTGCAGATCTTCTACAAGTCTGTTGTTGAGAGTGTAATCTCTTCAGCCATCGTCTGTTGGGGTAGCAGCATCAGAAGCAGGGACCTGAAAAGGCTCAACAGCCTAATAACAAAGCCTGGTTCTGTTCTGGGGACGACTGTGGAACCACTGGAGGAGATAATGCAAAGAAGGATTCTCCAGAGAATCAAGAAAATTATGGACAACCCTGAGCATTCTCTTCACAAGACTGTCCGACAACGGAAGAGTGTCTTCAGTCAGAGGCTTCTTCAGTTTCGCTGCAACACTGACCGCTACTGGAGATCCTTCCTGCCAACAGCCATTGTAATATACAATAACTCTTTGATGACTTGATTATTATTATTATTCTGAGCTACTACAGCAATCAATTTCCCTCTGGGATTAATAAAGTATTTTTGAATTGAATTGAATTAAGAGTATTTGCATAGTTATACGCTTATGTGTGTGTGTGTGTGTGTGTGTGTGTGTCCACCCTACAGTTTTTCTGAATAATTGTGGATTGAGTCCGTCTGCAGGTTTCTTAAAATGAAGTATACATTTGTCATTCATCTGTCAGTGTTTCCTGTTACACACACACACACACACACACACGCACACACGCACACGCACACGCACACACACACACACACACACACACACACACACACACACACACCAGCAGCTACAACCTGACCAGCAGAGAAACTGAACTCACCTAATCAGCAAACCTGTTGATGGTAGAGGGGAAATGCAGCTCTCGTGTTCCGTCTTTCTCGAAGGAGAATTTTCAGAGACGCTTTTCATTTCGGAGAAGATTTGGAGTTTACTGGTCCTGGTTCGGTAGGGTCAGAAGAACCAGAACCGCTGAAGATGCAGCAGCAGATGCGCACACTCACGCCTTTCTTTTGTGTTTTGTTTACCATCTGAACATTTCCATGGAACCAAAAGGTTTACTAGCTTTTCTCCACTAAAGTTAGCTAAAGTTCAGAGGGTTTCAGAGCAAAAGGCTGAGTTTAAATGAAATTATTCCTTTAACAAAGTCATCTAAAACAACTCTGAGTGTGATCTGTGGGTGTTCCTGCCACTCTGCAGCTTAGTCTCCTATTTTCACTCCACAGACTCACCGCAATCATTTGCATGCTGCATGGAGCCCTGAAATGACAGCTCTGAGTTATGACGGAGAGTTGAGCTGGCATTCCCAGGAAAAGTGACACAATTCTCCAGTCTATGGGATTTAAGATAATCTCAGCTATCAGAACCCCTTTGATTCTTCTACAAGGCCCAGAGACAGGAGGGAGAGCACCTTAAAAATGAATGAACTTGAAAATGTGAAGGTTAACATGATTTATGCTGAAATATAGCAGGAGGAAAGCTCGTTGGAATGATGAGAAGCGGCACTGGAATTCATTTGTTCAACGTGACATTTGGCAGGATGGAATGACATTCGTCTTCATCGTTCATCACCTGTCTATTGTCTTCCAATCTGTGAATGACGGGGGGCTGCTGCCATTTCTATGCTTATAATTTCCCTCGGCACATTATGGGCTGGCACACACGTTCTGCAGCTTTCCGTCGTACTGCTTCCCGGGAAGGAGGCTGGGAGGGAGATATGACAACTTCAGCCAGAGAGCCACACTCGCTGCTCAAGGGACATTTGTGGCTGTTGATGGAGGGATGTTTTTCCACATCTAACCTGCATGACGAGGCTGAGCAACCACACATATAAGGAGGCAAGAATGGTGGCAGGCGGCGGACGAACATCCGGTATACAGCAACAAGAGCTCATCTGGCTTTTGCAAGGACAAAAGGCAGTGAACAAGCCTGTATTTTTAGTACCATCCAGTTCCACACCAGTGCATTTCTGCCCAGTCCCTCCAGGGGTGGTGGTGGTGGTGGTGGTGTGTGGAGGATGATGCCTGATTTCACCACAGGCTTTACAGCTCACTCGATTCTGGGAGGAGGGTATTCGTTTAAGTGGTATCTTCCACAAAATAAATTGGTGCTTGAAGTTTTGCAGCAATTAAAATGGACACCTCGTTGCTTTTCAACCAGGACACTACTTCTTTCAACTAAATCCCTCATGTTTAAGGAAAGGCTCCAATTTACTAAGGGATACTTAGCAACTTTTCCATATTTTTAAATCATTTTGTTGAGCCAGTGTGCCCTTAAATGACCCTTTACAGGGTTAATGAAAGGCCACCCTTACCCTGTGGCCAGAATGTTCCATTGGCAACTTCAGAGTGCCGGTCCAGTCTGTCGGGAGCTAAAAAATAGAGCTGACTCAACTGGTGCTGCAGTATGATTCCAGCACGTTTCCTGCATGTTTTAGATCATGAACACAGCAGATTTGTTTATTTTAGCAATGAATCACTTGTGTAGACACTACTGAAGGCTGGGGAGATGTTTCAGTCATTAGATTAAGGTGTTAAAAAGATGAACACACAGCAACAAGATGGGTTTTGCTTTTGGTTTGGTTTTGGACACTAGGGGGAGCTGAAAGCAAGCCTAAACTGCCTAGACT